TTAAATCGAGTAGATACATAATGTTACAAAAGATGTCTATTTTAAATAATTGCTGTTCTTTTGAACGTCCTATTCCTTAAAGAATCCTGCAAAAACGTATCATGATTTCAACAAAAATATTAAGCAAAAACTATTTTTAACATGACTAATAATAAGAACCATTATTAATGGCTGTGTACCAATAATAACTGATAATAATTGAGCACCAAATCAGCATATTAGAATGATTTCTGAAGGATCATGTGACACTGAAGTGACACTGACACTTTAAAAAAATAAAAAATACAGCCTTGTTGTAAAACTTAATTATTCCAAACTTTTGACTGGTAGTGTATACAAACATGTTTGTCCCACAGTTAACCAAAGGAAATCTAGCACAACTTGGCACCAAGCACGATGCAGTCAGTTTTGTTCAGTCTCAATCTAGAACATCAGAATTGATAATAGTGATAGTCATTTTGAATTTTTAGTTAAAAAAAGGAATGAAATATGTGTGAAAACGGTTGTCTGATCAAAAGATGCATGGCAGCAATTTTGACCTCACTGTATCTAAATAGCAAATGATTGAGTAGCACTACTGATTGCTGGTGTCAGTGGGGTGAATGACACAAAGTCATTGTGCATTTTGAATGGTTATAGTCTCAATTCTCAATTCAATAGATCAATTTTCAATTCAATAGTCTAATTAGGCAATATCTCGTTCATAATCACAGATGAATCGGATTCGATTATGAACGCGATATCGCCTAGCTTGTCAGTGATCTACGGCTCTGTGTAGTAAATGCCACTCCATCTGAAAGCAGGTGAGGCGATTTACTACTAATCACAGAACCGGCTTTACTGACGAGATGCGCATGACAGTCGCATGCAATTAATTGAACAGCCCTACTTAAAAGTCAAGAATGTCCCTGACAGCACATTTTATGGGTAGTGCACAATTAACGTTTGAGCCCAATAGGCCATGGGTAAAATTTGCAAATAGATACTGTATGATATATAGTCCTACTATGTAGCTGACATTTTAGCACCTCACTGAAAGCAGCTGGATGGTAATGGATAGAATTGAAGCATTATCAGTGTATTTCTCACTAGCAGGCAGTATTACTGTTTGTCCATACTCACTTACGTGTTTACTACTGCCAATTCCTAGTACTGGAATGATTTCTTTTAATTACACAATTACCTGAAAACTGACATTACTAATGATTGTTTTTCTTGCTTCCACCAGGCTGTCCAGCGGGGCCGTTCAGGACTGCCCCATTTGCCTGAACCACTTGGGCTCAAACAACAGCTCGTCTAAGGAAGACAGGAATGTCATTTTTGTGGTCCTGTTCCCATCTCTTCCATGAACCCTGTCTGCAGGCCTTTGAGCTTTTCTGCCATAAGGTGAAACCCACATGCCCTCTCTGCCGGTCACACTATGCTAAAATGCTTGTTTCAAATTAAAGCTCAGTGTATTTATTAGATAGACTTGATGTTCTATTTATTTCCGTAATGAGACAAATTAAACTTCTCCCACATCACAGTGAAAGGCTTCATTTGTAATTCTACATCACCAGAGTCCAAAAAAAAGTCACCAACTTTATTATAAACTGAAGTGGAATACAAAGTAAACTAAAGAGAATCTGAACATTTTGCTTCAATTAAACTCTACAAATACAAGAGAACACATTCTGAAAAAACATTCACACAAGTAAAAGAAAAGAAAAATGGAAACCGAATTAAGCTTTCCCTTGGAGCTGAGGATGAGAATTCAAAGGAGGCCGACAGACATTTAGCCTATGATGAACAAACAAGCTGTTTGGTGTGTAGACAGGACACTTTCTACTGAAACGCTGTTCAATAGACTGATGAACTGAAAATATCCAGCATCCTTGACGTACTACATTTTTTGTAACAATGTTGTATAGGTGATGGGAGGAGGATTGGAAAGAGAGATGAACAACAATCAGATCAAAGATTATGGAATGAATAGGCTTCTTTTTCTTTCACAGTTAATTCTAGTATATCACTGCAAATGCCTCTATTTTGAGAAACCCAACACACCAACTGACACGCCGGTCCTTGTGCTGCATAAAGTAACAGCAGCATATGTTAAAAAACAATTAAATTAAAGCCAAAGAGTAGAATTTAGTATTATATAGTTAATAATGACATATGATGTTCTGGCATTACAAAATTTGTGCAGACAAAAGTGACATTAAAGTTTAATACACACACATACACACACACACACACACACACACACACACACACACACACACACAAATAGATTACTTCAATGACACAATTATTGACATAATACACTCATTCCCCAGATATCTTCTTACAAAATATTCTTTGTGCAAAACAGGAAAAAAAATATATTTTACATGTAACTTTTTTTAAATCCATGAAAATAAAAACACCAAAACAGTCCATCAAACTGAACCACAGAACCCACTGAGGAGTCAAGTTTTAAATGACATTTTCACAGGTTTTGAATTCAGTGTCCCTCATGTGAATCTTTGAACTTTGCAAACACAAAATCCAATCTGATTCCTGCCCAAACATTAATATTCCATATCAGTGCCCTGACAGTTTTTTTTTTTGCCTTTGGCCAGTTCCAGTTCAACAATATGCCCTGTCGTTTTGGTATGCCATGTTACTGACAATCACAAGAGGGATTCACAGTGAATTAGTCAATAAAAAGGTACACACGCTAACAATCGGTCTCACTCTTTCACTCATTTGCACATCTCACACATGCACAACTTGTCTCCTCAATACTGGACAACAGGAGACAAAAACAAAAGCCCAGAAAGCCTGTTCAAGGCATCAGAGGTGATTTTTTTTTTTGGTTTGTTTGTTTTTTACAATAAACAAATGCTGAGCGACTAATTGTCTGGTCTTTTCCACAAATAGCATAGTATGAATGAGGCTCAAGAGCTGTTTCATATCTACATTCTACAAAAATAAAAAGGAAATATACTGTATACATTTAAATACATAATTTACATTATAATGAGGCTTGCCATAGTGAAAGAGATGTACAGTGAAGACTGAACACAGGATGTCTGTTCAGCTTTATATAAAACCTTAAGAGAGAAATGTCAGGAATGGCCGAAACGGATTTCTTCATGTTCTTTTAGCCTGTTGGGTTTGTCGTCAGAATGGGAATGTTTGGAAACTACACTGAACATATTGTACATTAACGGTGTAATCAGTAACTTTTAGACAATATTAAAATAAAAGAAAAAAAAATGCTTCTCTGACTGTATTTCATAGCTACAAAGGAGACCCTTCAAGGAGTCGTGCTGCTTTCTACATGCATAATGACAACTGACTCCGCTCAGACTTCACATTCATTTCACCGCACAATAAGCTTTAATAGGTGTGAATCAGACTGATGTGGCTCTGCAGTCCTGTTTTCACAGCCTTTATATACAAGATCCTACATAATGTACGAGTTTAGCCTATGATCTGTGTAGACCGGTATTTCATTATACTGAACAGGCTGAGCTGGCTTAAAATCCAGCATGAGAGCGAGTGAAAAAGCATACAAATATCTATGTTCACGGATAATCTGCCATTTGCAAAAAGCAAAGCAGCTGCAGAGGAAGGCTGAAATAAGGCAAATATATAGATCCCCACAAGCTCTGCAGCAATAACCAAGTTCAAAGGACGTATGTTATTGGCTATATGCTCTCAGTTTGCGTAGTACATGTAGCATAGTATAGTATCAAATGTTGTGGAGGAAGTAGCAGCAGATTTAAGTAGAGGAACAGGAAGCATATCCCAAGATTGTGCCTCACCTTCTCCCAAATATTTGGTGCATTTTACTACTAAGACAAAAGAGCTGCATTTCTTTGCTGTCATTTAAATGTGATCACCTTCCTTATTCAAGATGACGATTCAATCCATTAAATGTGTTAAATGATTGAGGTGATATTGGCAAGATTGACCGGCTGGTCGCAACATTCCTAAACGCAACCAATTCAAGTAAACACAATAACATGTTAAGCTGGTTGTTGGTAGTGACTCGAACCCAAAATGTCCACATCTGAACCTTGCCTACTGATGGAAACAACAAGAGCAGTTGCAGTGCAAGAAGAAATTTGGCAGGTAGGCTCCTCCACTCTTAGTACCAATCCAATACTACCCAGAATATGCCAATATTGTGAGTAAGGCACATGTCTGGGGAGTTTCCTTGTTAATTCCCATTACTTAATTCTGTCACATCCAACAAACCTGAACTGTCACAGTAAAGCATGAGGAAATTAAAATCATAATGCTTCCTCATTTATAATAGATAACCTTATAAATAATAATTGATCTTCATCTTAACAAAGTGAATGTAAACATATGCAATGGCAGGCAAAAAGACAAAGTTTTCAGATCACAAAACTTACTTTACACATCAAAATTCAAGCAATAAAATTGACAGCTATGGATCAATGCTGACAATGAAACTTTTAGAGTATTCATCATCGTGATTGGCCATCACATTTTGCCCCATTTGCCTAAGAACCAGTTAATTTGGCATTAAAACATCTGTAACTTAACTTGAGTTTAAATGTTCAGCTAGACTCACTGCAATGCTTTCTTTCCCAGTGTTAAATTTGACCATTCTGCAATTCTTAATCGAATATAGTTTCTTATATTAGTACTCATATCACATGTAATAAAGGTCTCGACAATATCACTGTATATGTTTATATGTCATTTGTGTGTTGTTTTTAGGGGAATTGTTTTTATGGGCCTCAACCTGTTTCATCTAAAAAGTTCCATTTAACTTTAGAAAATGCTGTTAAACAATAATTGCCCTAACTGAGACTAAATTTCATTACACGTGACATTATCAGCTTGGCATATTTCCCTTGATCAATCTAGGGAAAAATTATAGATGATAAAAATAATAATAATAATAATCCCTCATTGAAAGGTGCAGTCAGGAGGTCTTTTAGGTGTGCAGGTCAGCAAGAAAAGAACATTTTCTCACTTAAGAGAATTGGCATGAAAGCATTTACAAGCTGAACAACAAAGACTGCAAACCCAATTGAAATCATTGTGAATCTCAGACTGGTTATAGCTGGAAGCATTCTGCAGGGAGTTTGAGTTTCAAATGAGAGATGGACATACACTGCATGTCGGGTGACTATGAGTCCAAACTCTTCAACATTTAGTTTTTTTTTGTTTTTTTGATGCTCTCTGATGTTATATCACTATACTCTTAAAATGAAAAAGCCAACTGAATACACATACATGAGTTTGTGTGAGGATGGCTGGATTTTGTTCTCACAGGGTTTTCTGATGACCGTTGACAGCATGTTTCCCTGACTCTGCATCTGTCGGACTGTTGGACAGATTTAATTTATCCAGACCTGAAACCAGAGATAAGTATTTGAAACATTTGGATGCTTTGACTCTCGTAGACAAATAATATGGCATTTCAAAACTAAAACTCCAGTATGCATTGTATGCACCATTATCAGTATGCCCTGCTAGTGGACTGCCCTGAATATATAGACACAAAGACATGAGCATAAAAAGAGATACAGTACAGAACGCGATTGTGGAAAATGTAGACCAGAAAGAAATTTGGAGATTAAATTACAATATAAGAAGTGCTAGCAGAATGGCGTTGGGCAGAATACATTACCGAGGGCTTTGAGGAGTTCCTCTCGCACAGCAGATGTGAATTTTCGGACCAGACACAATGTGGTTACCACAGCAAACAGAAGATTGTACGAAAGTACGATGTAAAAATTTCCAAGCCAATTAAATCGTCCAAAATCACCCAGGAGATCAAACCTTGTTATTCCTGCAGAAAGCAAGACACAGAAAAACGGTCAATTCTCAGATTCCCTATTTTTTTTAGCATACAGTGGGTGGGAGTTTCTTGAAAGGATTTGCCATTTTAAACTCACTGTCAATGTCTCAAGCATAAATAGAAAATAGAGTGAAGAAATGGGGAGGTGTATGGTTGGAAAGAAAGGATTGAAAGAGCAGGTAAGGGCTCATGATGACGACATGATAAAAAGAAAGACCACAGCTCCATCTCAATCAGATTACACAACATCATAAAGTATCTTTTTCCCACATCCTAGATAAGCAAGTCTCCCATTTACCATCTGCTTTCATATTTCAGTTAGAATTAAGTTTATTGTCGTCAGACAAAACTGATTGGGAATAAAACATTCTTTCTGAAACAAAACGTACAAGTTGCACTCTCATTTTTATGACTAAATGTTCCATGGCCACAGGGTGCATGTGCACATTCAAATTAAATAGTATTTGTACAGCATAAAAATCTGAAATTTGAGGATTGTGTTGCCAAACAAGTGATTACCTAATTTAATCAAACTGAATACACAATGTTTTGCAATTTGACCTGAATTAACACACAGGTCATCACTTTATCACTTCACACAACCAGAATACAAACAAGATCACAGGCTGACTCCTGAGGATAACTTAAAACAACTTCAATGTTTCCCATTCAAAATCTCAAGCATCATCAAAAAGAGCTTGTGTTGAAAGTGGTAAAAAAGGGTCAAGTTTTCACACGTGGGCAAACATATGCATCCTAAGTTAATGTGCTTAGTTTTCAGACTGACCGGCCAGCTTAAAAAAAAAAAAAAAAACTTTTGTCTGTCCAACATCCACTAATTACTGCAAAAGACCCACAGTGTAGACTTGCAAACCTAAAACGTGAAATGGATTCATTAGTTATACCCATTCATTTTTTCACCTTAATAAATCCCTTGTCGTTTTTTCTGCCAGTCCTAAAAGGAGAAAAAAACTGCAGTAGGATAAATTACACAAATCAGATTTAATTAAAGGAGTTTTCTGGACTTCATGACCAGTTAATGAGGGCAATGACCAATTTGTGTACTCTGTAATGTTTAAAGGGAACTGTAAAGAGATATATTTTAAACTGATTAGAATTTTAAACAGAATACATCCAGTTATTTGAATATACACGTGGAAATGTATATGCTATGTCAAAAGGTTTCTCTTGTACATGCCTGATTTTTTTGGCTGCGGTCAAATTCACACCCATTATCTTAAGTAAATTAATTGCATAGAATCTAATAACATCTGTAGTCCTTCAGATACAACAAGGTCTATAACCGCTAGTCACTGACAGCCATGCTGAATGAAAACAATGGCATAAAACTTTGGGTGAATGGCTCTCTCACTCATGTACAAATCTCTTATTGAGCAAATCCTTTTTCAGGTGACCCCTTGTAATGGCTTAATGAAATGAAGAAACCCAAGTAACCTATACTTCTCAGAATTGAAGAAACAAATATCAAGAGTTTAATATTGTTAAAAAGGAGAGTGCTAGGGTGAGAGTTAACTGTCTGTGTAAAAGTCAGTGCTGTCACACAAGTCAGTTTACCTTTCCCACATTTTCAACAGGCTCCTGCAGTCTGCTTATGTATGTGCACACACACACACACACACACACACACGTTTCACTATATTAGTGAGGACATCTTATAGACATTGTTTTTATATCAGGTTGATGATATTTCTGATCCCCTAACCCTAAACTTAACCCCCACCAAAACATGATTCCGCTAATCTTTAACCCTTTTTAACTATTGATGTCCAGTTCACTTGTCAGTGTTCAACATGTTTTACTATATTAGTGAGGATATTTTTGAATAGTGAAGATATTTTGGACCTCACAAATATAGTCAAACCTGTATATATTTACACACACACACACACACACCCCTTTGAGTATTTCTGCAGGACTTCCATCTTTCCACACGGGGTGTTTGTGAGTCTATTTGATAGTAAATGTGTTTTAATTTGTTTAATTGAAGACACTGTATGACCAAAGTTGTTGAAATTCTTTGGTCAAATAAAAACTACTTCATGCAACCTCTCCTTTCATCTATTCAGTGTAGCACAGCAGAAATACTGATATTTTTCTGAAGCTCCCAGTGAGTCACTGTACTCACTCATTCACTCACACACATACACACAAAGCTATTTGAACAGCTGTGTCTGTAGCTTGCTATGTTGTTTATTGCAGCTATTGTGACGGCTGCTCGTCTGTCCTTTTTCTCGCTCCATTCTTGTGCTGGAATGTAACTTGTTAAATCTTAACAGTGGAAATGAGTTTGCCTGTATGTGTATACGTCAGTGCAGCTGGAAAATGTATAAAAATGGTAGTATCCAAACACAAACAAACACTTGATGCAATGTTTATGGTAACCCCAAGAAATACACAAACGCTTATAAAGGATAGTGTACACATGCAGGTAAGGAGGACCTTACCAAGTGTTCGGGACATGACAGGCAAGGCCGAGCTCAGCACTAGAATGGATACACAGCAACCAATGATCTACAAGAAGAGAAAAAAACAAGACTAAGAAACATTTCCACCATTCCAAATTAAATATATGATAAAAGATCCCATAGTTGATTGGTAAAAAAAAAATTGAATGCACCACGACCACATTTTTTTGCAAAAGAATAATAGATTTAAAAAAGTAAAATAAAACGATGCATATCCTTGAACTCCTTTACATTAAGTACAAAATATTATAATGCAATAATATGTATTTTTTAATTGCGAGGTTAGACCTTTTTTTTTTTTTTTTCCATTGTTACGATGCTTAACCACATATTTAGATATACAAACTTTTTTGGAGAATGACAAGAATTCAACTTCTCAGGATTGGAAAAAATGTGACTCGCCACCAAAACCAGGAGATTTGGAACAATGAACAATTTGTGAATGTTTTATACATTTAGTCCAAATTAGTGTGAACAGGCCTTAAAACCGAAGCAGTGTTGCAGATCCTACCGTTGTCATGGTAGTGTCGTCCTTTCTGGGAGTGAGCTCCTGAAAGATGCGAAGGCTATAGAAGCCAACCACAGATGAGACCAACAGATAACTGTTCAACAGTTAAGACTAACACAGTTGTTTCAGTCAAAACATTCACTAACATTTCCCTCTAGAACACACTCGCAACAATCATAAGCAAACAACTTTGAGTCCCTTCACTAAACACACACAATCTGTGATCAAACACTAGACTGGAGCTTATGCAGCATTAGTGTATCACACACAGCAAAGGATACAACATGAGAATGATTTCAATAACCGCCTGGGCAACTCCAAATGTGGATAAGGAGGCATTGCCAATATCTCTCTCCTGCAGAAACAAATAGTGAAAGTTACAGTCAATGGTTATTTTCATAAACTGATTTTTTCCCCCCCAAATAAAATTTGGCTTCAAAATATGATCATTTTTTGCATGTCTCTCAAAGGCACCAGTTGAGGTTCTGGACTGTGGTAATACTCTTACATGGAGTAAGTGCATGCAGTGGACGTGTTTTAGCGACGTGCCCAATGCAAAGGCTCCTGTTACAACCGAAGCTGTGTAATCTAAATAAGACTACAGTGTTGACACCTCAGTGCTTCAGGCAGTGAGAGCAGAAAAAAGCGGCAGAAATATTTGGAGCTGTTCTGAGTGAATGCTATTATGAAGAAATAAAACATATAAAGCTCAGATTAGTGAAGTTTCCCTTCTCACCAATGAGGACAGACAGAGTGAAATTGGCGAAGTAATGAATGGAAGCAGATGAAAGAAATCTTTTTAAATTCACCGCCGCTCACACACGCATAATATGTGAGCAGGTGTTCAAACAAAAAAGAAAAAGAAAAAAAAAGGCAATGGTGCTCTTACAGTAAGAGGCTGCTCAGAATGAATGGCTGCCAAAAATTAAGAGAAAAATGTGGAAAAAAAAACAA